GAACCCTAAGACAGCATAATAAGCCACTATACGATTGGCCCGATTCCCTATTTTTGGCGAGCAATGTAAGGTATATAAAGCTTACAAATCATTAAGTATCTTTATTTGAAAGAGAACATGGAGAAGCAAAAAGGGGGCCAACCCGGAATCGAACCGGGGACCTCTGTCATAAATGTCCCAATGAACCCTAAGACAGCATAATAAGCCACTATACGATTGGCCCTGTCATTGGTGAGAGAGACCGATGGTCCAACTATAATTACACAATTGAAGAGTGATATTTGGGACCTACCAATCTTGTTCCTAGGAATTCGCCGTTCGAACGAAGAAGTGACCTGCCCATGGAGAAGTCCACGCTAAGATGGGGTCGATGTCGATGATCGCAGGAATCACGCTGCTGGAAGCGAGATTTTTTTCCTCGAGAAGATAAACTCATCCCATCCCCTCGTCCGAACAAGGTTGTTGCCTGTCGATCGCATTTACCCCCAGGTCTTGACGATCGCTCCAAGACGAGAAGAACAGATGAACAATGATAACTTTAATTCGATGATCCACACCTGTGGATTCGACCTTCTACCTCTGTGAGAGACCAGCTAGGACGTTGATAAGATAACAGGCAAGTGGTTCTGCATCTTGTATCCACTCTTTTCGACATCCGCCTTCGTCTCGTCATCGACCTTTCATGTGCAATTTCGAAGAAGAACAAAGCGAGATTCTGGGCAAGACCAAACGTCCCACTCGGAACAGTTTCACTGAAATCTTTCTGGGCCAATTGGGCATTGCACATCAAATCATCTTACGTAGCGGGCAAGTGCTTTGATTTCCCTGGCAATCCCCACGGTCGCCCACGCGACAATCCTAACATATGCTGTAAAACGACCTGCAACCCTCCCTCCCCTCTGGCTTTTTGCATGATTAAATTCCCTGGCCATCCCCCAATCAATTTCTTCACATTGTTCAAAACCCCTATTCCAAGTCCGGGACTGGCAACACTTTTTTTTTTGGTCTCCATTGTCCGAGAGTATCTGTCAGAAAGAGTAGTGAACAGCGCCAGCCTCGGCTGTATCGCAGCTTCTCGAACCAAGTCATGCGATGGTCATCAGACAGAGGGTCTTTCCCGTCGCACGGTAACACAGAAAAGCTTGAAAGTTAGATACCAAAAATCATAAGGGGGATGATGGATATGACTGAAGAAGAGCTGCGCAAAAAAGGGTTGAAGTGACGCGGAAAAGCCTTGCCTGAGAATCAAAAGACAGAGTGTGGGATCCTCCGCTTTGCCAACCTTTTCGCTCGCCCAAACTATATCATACGTCCGCCTAGTTATCCGACGAACGCTTCTTGCCCTGTGGGTAGTTTGACATTGAAGAAAATCGTTGGGGACAGGATGTTGATCAGTAATTTTGAAACTTACTTTGCTAGCCTAAGGTCACGATCCGACAACATATGCCCATCGTCCTTTTACATTTCGAGCAAGAGAAGTTTCCCCTTCCCTTCCCGAGCGCCCCTCAGCCATGCCCTTCATCACTCCGCCATTGCTTATCAACCAAAGTGACAACTTGCGATCCTTACCCAAGCCATGTTGTAGAAGCCGACGGTGGTGCCGTAGATGCCAACACCGAAAAGGGTCATGAAGAGACCCATGTAAAGCCTTGACCTCGGCATCCTCTGGTAGACTGGGCGTGTGTCAGCTTGGAGGGCGCGCTGGCGCTGTGGGACCGTGTTCCTTTTGGTATGAAATGACGGATAAGAACAGAAAATTTAAGATTACCAAAAGCGTCAGCGGCACAAGAATCGTCAAGAGATGCAACCAAGAAGTTGTCCCACGGGGCTCCTTCTCCCAGTAGTGTACCACCAAGCACCAAATGGTCGTTGAAAGCGAGAGATAACATCGAACGAAAACGCCTAGACCCCTGTCGCCTTATGCATGCTAGTCTATAGTTCGACCATCATTCCCCTTTCGATAGGAACGGATACCTGGACCTTCTAACTCGAAGATTTGTAGGCAGAGCAGAAAGGTGAAGATCCTGATCGTGCCTATGCTGAACTGGTTCTTCCTGGTTCTCACCTGCGGTTAACGAGGGAATCCATGATGTGAGAAATGTAGCGAAGTTGTTGAGTGGGATGGTGAAGAAGGAGCGGGAGATGATAAGAAGACAGAAAGAAGTCTCGATATGAGACCAACCGAACGAGTTTCGACTTTGGTGAACCAAGAGTGATCGGAACAGAGATCCAGGCGGAACGGCCAGCTGAGTGCCCCGGCCCCAACCGGCTTGATCAAACCGCAGTTTCTGAATCGGGCTTCGATCTTTGGCTGGTTGTGCAAACTCTTGCCCGATTTCACGCGACCATGTCAAAAACATCAATGAAGTGAACGCTGCACTCCTTGCTTCAGTATCCTAGATCATGCTGTGATCCATCGGCTCTTAATTCGTCAGGGATGCAGAATTCTAGCGCATCTTGCCAGGGAAACCCCCTCAAACCACCATAATCGATCTGGAGAAGATGGGGACAAAAGGGACATCCTTAGCTCGCGCACCTGATAGCTTGTACTCGGATTTCCGTGGGTATAGAGCGCCTCGATGGTCATTGCTGTTTCCATCCTTACTAGTTCCGCTGTCCCGAAAGCACTGACAGACAGGACAGTAAGAGAATCAAAATGAAGAGGGATCGCGAAACTCATAGGCTCATTAAAATCCGTTAAAAATCCATCGAGGTTCCTCGACCTGATGTACGCCTTAGTAACCAGTTTCAAGGTCACGGATCCCAATCATGGTCACCTTCGATCCTTACAGACCATTCATGAGGCTCTTCCTTCGCTCGGCCTTCCGCGATTGGAAATGCTGGGCGAGTAGAGGCAAAGATTTTCGAAAACTTTCGAGAATAGAAGTCAAGATGGCCTCTTGGTCCATGGCGCTGCAATCGTACTGCCTGGGAGAGGCCCCAAGGTTAGCCCACCTATGCTCTAGCTTATCGATGAGAGTCTAAAAAGTCGTAAGGTAGTCAATCACCACCTCAGAAGAAACCAGACAAAAGATTGTCTTATGCTGAGCAGGAAGTCCTTCTTGGGAACACGGCGGGAAAGAGGCGACTAGTCATGGCTAAGTGCTCCTTCCTTTCGCCCCTCCGACTTCCTTCCCAGGTCAACCTGATGAGAGGCTCGTTCAACGCACAGGTATGAAAGGGGGCCTGATTCCCTCTCGTATCGATTTCAACCTCTTCCTCCTACGTCTCCAGGAACGGGGTGACAGCAAACTCAAATCATTTCGCCTCATCCCCCCCCCCCCCCCCACACCCACTCATCGGTTTCGGTTATCTCCTACCACCTGATTCAAGTTAGAACTGGGTATGTGGGCTGACCAGCGACCGGGAAAGACCGATTTCAAGCGTATGTAGTCGTCAAAACTTTTTCGTGGCTGAAGGAATACCCTCACATCCATAAAAAGCCAAGCTACGAACTTATACTTCTTTCCTGATCGTATCCGCGATCGTCGGCTCGCTCTTCTTGGACTCTTTCTCTCAAGAATCCTCTGGTAGGCACATAAATATGAGCAAAAGAATGGAAAAGCTCGCTGCGCTAGCAGCGCTCGTATCAAGTCTGCCCGTCGCCACAGCAGCGACTCCAGGTCGTAGCGAAGTGGTTGGAAAGTCCCAGGTCTCGGCCATGATGTTGTTCAACTCGAGCCCGGGAAGAGTCGTCATCCTTGACAAAACTGAAGGCAACGCGGCTCAAATCGACGGCCACCCTGCTTGGGGCGAGGAATTCGATACCGTCACCGGGGTATCGAGGCTTTTGAGGGTCGTCACTAACACGTTTTGTGCGGGGGGTATGAGCATGGGGAACGGGACCTGGGGTGTATTTGGAGGAAACGAAAACGTTCGGGCCAATGGCACCTCGACTGAGCCTAGGTGAGTATGAGACATGCTCGCGAGACAGAAAATTTGCTGTTGGTTTGCGGGCGGAACATGTTCTTCTACGGTTCTTCAGAGAGCAGGATGAGAGCTGTCGTCGACATAGGGTCTGCTGCTCTCCGTGGCTGTTTAATACTCTGGGATGCCAGCAATTGACACCAAGCTGCAATAACACCAGATTTTCAATATCGCCTCCGTACATGGACGGTGATGGTGGCCCAGCAGCTCGCTTCTACACCCCTTGCAATGACGGAAATTGCGATTGGGTCGAAGGCTTGCGAATGACAAGAAGGAGGTGGTACGCAACGGTCGAAGCTCTTGGAGATGGGACGCTCTGGATTGGAGGTGGGATCGGCTACGGTGGCTACGTTTCAACGCCTAGCGACAATGAGGCCAGCTACGAGTTCTGGCCACCTCGAGGAGCAGATCCTGTTCCCATGGGCTTCTTGAGTTCAACCGTTCCCGTCAACCTTTATCCTCTCACGTGGCTTATGGCGTCTGGGAGACTCTTTGTCCAGGCTGGTCAAGAGGCCATTCTTTGGGACCTCAGCAGTGCATCTGTTGCAAAGTACTTGCCATCGACAAGCGGCCCAATGAAATGCTACCCATCCTCGGCAGGTGTCGCCATGCTTCCACTGATCCCATCTTACAATTACGAGCAGTCTTTATTGTTCTGTGGTGGCGTCCAACGGCCTCTGGGAGAGTGGGGCAACGCTAGCGGCCCATACTACAACATCTTAAGTATTCCTGCAAGCAGGATTTGCGAGAGGATAACGCCTGAGTCGGAGAATCCTGTATGGCAAAGAGACGACGACCTGGAAGAAGGAAGAAGCATGGGAAGTTTCGTCTACCTGCCTGATGGAAAGCTATGGTTCGGACAAGGGGTGAAGAAGGGGAATGCCGGATACAGCAATCAAGGATTCAGCCAGTATCTTGGCACTTCACTCGGAGACGAACCCGCCTTCCAGCCTTCAATCTACGACCCTTATGCTCCTTCCGGTTCCCGCTTTTCGACCCAGGGCCTCAAAAACATGACTGTCCCAAGGATGTATCACTCAACCGCAGTGCTCCTCGATGACGGTTCCATCCTGACCGCCGGTTCCAATCCAAACAGTGATGTTACTTGGAGCAATCCTGCTGGCTACACAAACACAGAGTATCATGTTGAAAGATTCTATCCAACATGGTACAATCAACCAAGGCCAACCCAGCCAAATGTCTCTGAGCTTGGCTACGGAGGCGGATACTTTGAAATCGTTCTTTCCAGCCAAGATTTGGGTGGAAGCCTTGAGGCGATCAAATCCGCCAAGATGA